GGCGTACCCTGGGAGTGTACAGCACGTTGCAATGCCATCCAACACAAGCACTAAAATTCATCAGAATGTCTTCACATTCCTGTATTTTCTTGAGTCTCCCAGCCTCCTTGTCACCATTTTAACCGGACAAAGGCCTGTTGTATTTTTGGATTTGTTTCTGGTTTTTTAAAGTATAGCAAAAAGAGCAACGTGAAGAATGCTTCTCCTGGATCAGGACTCTGAGGAAAGCCGTTCTTCTGCTGTTTGATATGAAAGTTCAGTGTGGAGCGCAGTAGTCAGCTACATTCCTAACCTTCCTTTAGGTATTACGCCTAAAATCACGATATAGGAGGAGATATTTATGAAGGTGGGGTAGTTTCAACTGTTTTGAAAGCTTGCTCCAAGATTGGCTTTGGTTGACGACATTCATTTCTAGAATCAAATCCAATGAATAAAAATTGCTGCCCTGTATAAAAGGTTTGGTAAGCCATTCATCAAAATATGAGATACACATTATATTCTCAGATACACCCACATAAATATAGGGGGGGAAAAAATTGTTTCAGTAAGACTATCCATATTGTCCTATCTGGCCACCTGAATATGGCAAGTTAAGAAAATTAATTCAAGTAAGTACAAAAGCTGTGGCTGGTTCATTTTAACACATTCCAGCAGAACTTACTCTAGCCTGACACCCAAGCAGATAAAACTAAAATCTACTCTACAAGAGACTGTGTAAAGAGCAAGATTTTCAGCCAGAAGATTGTGGAAATCAGGCTAAAATGACACTGTTCAAACAAATGGTAGGAGACAGAAGTTCAGGTAGCCAAAAAAAAAAAAAGGGGGGGGGGGGCAAAAAACCCAACTAATTTCCACTGACTTCAGGGGTGCTACCCCAAATACCATCGGCTGGGTATCTGGCACTGTCATAAAAAAAGGTTTAGCTTGCAGGCTACCATTAGTATGTCTGGTACTTTTAGTTAAGATATACATCTGCTTACAGACTGTAACAAAAGAAACAACCAAAATAGAATTTTAATAAAGGGCATCACTCCAGGTAAGTGTCAAAGAATAAATGTGTCTCTGCTCTACCAGCTATGTAAAAGAAGGGGAAAAAATGTTGAACATAGCAAAAGTGTAGTCCTTGATGCACTATGCTGCAGAAAGGGATGAACTACCAGCGGTACAAGTCCATAGAACAGTATAATTACTTCCTTTATAACTTTGCTCTCTTCTGATTATGTACATACATTTTAAAGGTCCTCCATCCTTCAAAAGGGCATGGGAGGAGGGGGGCCGGCTCTGTATAGCTGCTAGTAAGAAATCCTAATCTCAACGTTGGTGTAAGCCAGAGGTGTCTATACATTTGAGCACTTCCTGTTTTCACTTCGTGATCAAATATGTTCTTTGCAGGGCAAATAGGGGAGCACTTGAGGGAGGAAAGCAGAGATGTCTGAGAGGCTAATTGAGTGTACTAAGGACTCCCTGGCATAGAGGAAAAGGAGTCTTCCAAAGCTATGAATAAACTCTCGGCTTGGGTCAGATTTCTTGCTGTTTCTTTTCTTTAACCACCTTTGAACTCAAATAAAAACAGCCTTAATGTCAGGTTTACCTTTCTGATGTCGTAATCTTTATGTACTATTGAAAAGCTTATACTACCAGACTAGGATTTCCTCTACTTTCTTAAACACTGGATATTATCCAGAAAAAGCATACACATTTCCAACCAATTCATCCTCAGATCTTTCATCTTCCGGTACTGTTGTAATTCCAAATGTAAGACAGAGCTCAGTAAGTGAACGAGAACATGACAGAAGCTCCTACTCCTTGCATTTGATTTCCAACAATAAAAACATGCATGTGTATCCTATTTCAAATATAATTAAAGTTACTGCAAAATGGAAGCTGTGATAGGGGTTAGAAATTGTTTTGAAAGACGCAGCCTGTCAGATACATTCATTCTACATCAGAGTTCAAGTGCCTGTCTCTTCAAAAGAGCCACTTAGGCAACTCAATTTTTAAAATCGGCTACCTTAGGAGTTTGCAAACTGATTGAATAAAGGGGGGAAAAAAAATAGCATTTTATTTAAAATCATAAGTAAATACAATTAGCCAGAGCTGAGTTACTCTCTTTGAATTTGCTAGTCTAAAGGAATTTCAAGTTTAATCCACGCCATAAGAGATGGACTGCCACTGCCTCTTCTTCCAGGGAAACCAGAGGTTAATGATTTTTGTCATATTGAGACTAACAGCTAACAATTGCTACAGTTGGCCTTTAGTATTTTATTTGTCCTTTTGAGGTATTCAGAATAGGTGACAATGGCTTGCAGTTGAGAACATATGTAGAGAGACCCCTGTGGCTTATGGAAAAGTTGCTCCATGCTGGTTGGGTGTTTGAAAAAAAAATACAACCAGAGCTCTTTTATGTTCCTCTCCTTAATGAATGCATGAATGTCAAAATGTACCAATGGCCCATTCAGGGGGCAAAGCCTAAGCAGCTCCTTCTTTAAGAACACATCCTGAGATGTAAAATACATTTGCTTAACAAATTAAAATAATGAGATAATTCAATTAGTTTCTTTAAATAAAAAAAAAAAAAAAGAAAGAGAGAGAGAAAGAAAAAAGGGTACATCAGGGGATTATTGTAATACAAGAACAGGTCATACAGCACAAAGGAGGAACAAACCAATTTGAAATAAGGTTAGAGTAGTAATGAAGGAATGTACATTGAATCATGCACCACCATTGTAAAGATATTTACTTGAAACAATAAAATTGTACATCACAGATTCCCCCATTCTGGCTCAGCCAGCATTGCACTTTGAATGGACAAGCTAATTTGAGAAAAAGTGCAAGATCTTTAAAAGAAAGGAGTTCTCTTCCTTCCCTGCATGTGTTTATGGCAAGAATCTTTCTGAATTTACATTGCACTGGTCAGGGGTCTCCATTATCAGTTTGCAGGTCTGAGAATTACAGCACAGTAAATCTTTCAACACCTGCAAACTCATTAAAGCCTGGACGATAAAAGGTTTCGGGCTTTTTTGTGTTCATTTAATTTGATTTTTGCGAGGCCATCCTCACCAGTGATGGCAAATTTCCTCAATTCATGCAGGATGGAGAGGGTCAGGAGAGAGACGATGGAAACAAGGAAAAGGGATTTCAAAAAGCCAGGAGGACTTTCCTCAAGAGAAGTGAAAGGCAGTTGACTGTTTAATAAGCATGTGTCAAATGCTTTCAAGGAGCACGTGAGAAAGGAAGACAGGGAGGAAAAAAAACCCAAGATATCACAAGTTTCATAAGAGGAAATGGAGTTAACACAGAGACACGTACAAAACAAACTGGTTTATTTGTGGCCCTGCTTTTTGCTGTCTGCCTGTACTACTCCTGTAAAGATACCCTACAGCTAAATGAAAAACCCTCCACTCACACTCACTCGACTTCCAAATTAAAAACATTTTACAGGTTAGTAAATCTCCAGCTGAGGTGATGTAGCAAAGAACAGCTGTGAAGTAATTTTGATAATGATGAGAATAATAAGCACATGGCAAGGTTCAGGGCTTTGCTGTTGCAGCTTCAGTGCTCCTGAATAGATAAAAGTGATTAAATACTCCTGATTATCCCTGACCAATATGTAATGGATTTACAGCCCTTTCAATTAGTCAGTATTTGCTTAGGACTCATTATTTTGTCTTTGGTTAAGTAATCAGCCCAGAGACTCATGTTCTGTCTAATTCCTCTGAGCCAAGTGGGTACAGGGCACCTGACCTTTGAAATGGCCATAGCTGGGAGGCAGGAATAACCACTGCTCCAGCAGAGACACTGGCTATTCCAGCTAATCCTGACCCCACAGGCCAGATCAATGCACCTTAGTTTGCTACTAATGTCCTTACATCAAAATGATGGTTTAGAAATGTGGATCTATCGCTCCCCCCCTTTAGCTGTGCTGCTAGCAGAGCAGTTCGATAGTCCCTATCATAAATAAATCGGGTACCTTGTCCTGAAATCATTACACTGTAACCAACATCAGCTACCGTGGAAATTTATAAAACTTTGGTAGAAGAAGAGGTAGTTAATAACAGTTAGCATTTTAAGTCTTATCAAGTGAGAAACAATTTTACAGTGAGAGGAAGAGGAAAATCAATTGATAATTTTACCAGTTTCCATTATTTCCCACACGACGTAAACTACAGAGAGTGTTACTAGGTTCTCTGCGGAACCGTGTTTTGATGCCTAAGTGAAGCTATAATAGTCAACAGAACACCAACACATAAAACCAATCGCAAGCAGGAGGATAAAGATAGCCCATGGAAAGCATCGCTTTGTCACATATTTAATCTCTCTCCCCCAAATGTGAATATGGCTAGCATTTAACGTAATGGACTTGAAGAGAAGCTAAAAAGGTGCTTATTCTCTCTGTTATGCAACTGAAGAATTATGGAACCTGTAAGCCTTCTATATTTCTCACAAAAAGTAAAAATTACGAGTTTGCAAGCTGCTGCTTTGACCTCTCTAACATCCACAGTGTATGTCAGCACACAGAGACAGGGGCTCTCTCTTCCGCAACGTACGTCTGAAGTTTGTGTAAACAGAGGCCAGCAATAAAGAATCCAGAAGGCAGAGCTTTATATATGCTAAAGCAAGAACCCCCTCCCTTTTTGTCTTTAGGAACATTTTGAATAGTTCAAAGCAAAAAATGGTTACTTTATATGTAGGTGTTGTTTCATGCTAAGGCTTTGTATCTCTCTCTCTCTCTCTACAGGCATGTGTGTGTGTGTGTGTATATACACATATATATACACACACACATGCATATATATATAAGTTTCTTTCAGATTTGTCATGATGCCAAGAGCCAAGAAAAAAAAAAATCTAGAATTAAAAAAAAAAAAAACCAAAACCCAACAGTAATTGAACCCTAATAATGGTCCAAAAATTATGGGGACAATTGATTTCTAGTAACGATGAATAAACCTCATTAGGCTCATGAATAGAAATCTATTTTGGTTTTAGGCACCACTTACTGTGAGATGCTGGAAAAGCCACGCTCTCATGATATTTGTTGCTACTTTGGGGAAAATGCCTCTTTTCTTCTGACGCTTTTTGTCCTTGTCTGGGTCATCGTCATCCCCTGTACCAGGTGAGGCTACACTGTTGTCTAAACCATCTCCTACAACAAAGAGAAAAACAGGAAGGAGGAGATATTTAATGAACAAAATATAGAAGCCAAAAAGTATCATTAATTACCAAGACACTACCACAGTTTTATTTTGATTTGCTAGATCAGGCACATACAGTTTCTCATCGTATATGAGCACTGATACAAATATGTAAAAATTAGAAACCATGTCTCTCCAAATACTAATTTTGCGTTTCACACATGCATATATCATTAATTCAATTATAATTGTGTGCTTGACATAGTGCAATAGCTCTTTGTCAATTATAGGATTCAATGTGGGAAAACCTGCCACAAGAAAACCCATTCACTGTAAATGCATCCCTACAACCATTCTGAATACGTACTATAAGTAATCAAGTTAAATGTTCTGTAGTCTATATATTCGAGGCCCTCTGCAGAGGTGGCAGTAACCATGTCACCGTTCAGTGCACATAACACACTGTCAGATGAGCCCCTCCCCGCAACCATCACCTCCCAACACACATACATACGCACGCACCAACACGTACACCTAGTATGACCCTGCATACAGCATTTGCATGACATGAAAACTTCTACATCTCTGCATCAGTGATTATTATCATTAAAAAAAAAAGATGCACATCAAGGTAGAGCTCTCACTTAATCAGAACTTTCCATCAACATCTTTCTCTTCTGTGCTTTTCCCTGGCATTAATTGTGCATTAGCAAAAATCATTTACTTTTAACAGTCATAGTTATTTTTTCTTGCCCTCCAGCAAAAATGCCTTGAAAGCCTGCCTGGAGGGCATCTAAATTATGTATCTGAAAAACTCTTCTGGCAAGGCATTGCAGGACCCCTACTTTCTTAAAATTCATACGAGCACGTCTTCCTGTTTTTGGGAAGGCATCAATCAAGAGCAGCAATATATGCCATATTCCTACATTAATATTTGAACTAATAACTTTAAAAAAAGGAAAGAAACAAGATCCGACTTGTGGCATAATCAAATGCAAAATAAATGAAGAATACTGGGACAGCACTGAGACTTTATAGATTGCTGTGTTTTCCTTACACATCATTAGCCCGGAGCCACACGAAAGAGGAAAACAGAGAAGTGGAGAGTTTATGCTCCCTGCTGGTGTTTAAGAAGCCGAGGTCCTGGAAGGACATCTGGGAATTGTGCTGAGACGGTGGTTTTTGTAATTTAAGAATAGACATTCATTAGCAGTAAATGCCATAAATCCCATGCTAAGTAAAAACCTTGTCCAAGAAAGCCTAAAACAATAAACTCTGTGCTCAATGTAGCCTGAGCTAGACGCTCCATAGCTTCCTGAGGAATGCTATAGATTCACGAGCTAATTCCTATAGCCTTGTCTAGCTCTGTAGTGCTGCTAAACGAAATACGTTGCTGCTACATACAGTCCATTTGCTGCAAAACTTGCATTTCAGCTCCATCTTCCCTCCCGTGCCAGATCACCCTTCTTCCACTGCCTCCCCTCTGAAAAACCAACCCTTTTGGACCAGAGAGACAGAAAAAGCCGCAGCAAAGAGCTGGCAGATTAATTTTATTGACATTTCCATTTTCACTGCAATGTGATACCCTCCATCACATGGAAGAGATGACCCTCACTATTTACAGACTGACAGGCCACTTCATTACAACCACCCTGCCCCAAGGCAGAGCAGCTCCTTTCCATCTGCCCAAACACCAGAGCAAGACCCTGAAGTCGCTGCTCTCTTTCTCATGCTCCTTTTTTTTCTTTTTTTTTTTTTTTTTTGTTTGTTTCTGTTAACGATAGAGAAAGGAGAGTCGAATCACAGCAAACTAATCGAGGAGATTATGGAAGCCTTAAACGCTGTAACCAACTGTTCACTTTTACAAGATGTTGGTTATTTAGAAAGCGCTCCTTTCCGCTACTCTGAGTGTCCCCCCCATATATTCCACCCTACCCCTCTCTCTCTCTCTCTCTCTCTCTCACACACACACACACACGCATGCACGCACACACACACTTACTTTCCACTATGCCAAGGAACTGCTGCAAGGCAAATTCTCACAAACACTAATGGCTTCTGACTGCTCCTTGGCAACCCCAGCATTTTAACCTGGGTGGATATGCTCTCCAAAATACAGACACTGGAGCTATCTCATCAGCTGTTCATGTGACACAGATGGAGAGCGGCTATTAGGAGCCAGGCAATGGGCCTTGGGGATCTGAGGTGCTGTACTGTAGCCTCAGGCAGTTTTGAAAAGCAGTACCCGGAGATGGGGGGAAAAAAATCCCTACTGAAAGTGCAAGTTTGAAGTCAGTCAGTCTGTTTGTCTATCTGTCGTGCGGATAAAGATATCTTTGTCTCTTTATGTAAAACCTATGTGTGTATGCACAGGATGCGTGGAGCTGTAAAACTTCCGCTCTGCACCTTCCTTTCATACCGCAGAAGCACCGGTTCACTCTCTGTATGGACAAATCCCTGTTTCTCTGCGTATACATGATCTCCTCTTTGTGAGCATCCTCAGCAGGAGTCACCTACATGCTAAATCAGTGTTTAGACCTTTTGGAGAGGCTGTTAATATCTTGGTTTTAAAAAGCTAATAGCAGCCCAGGACATGAAAGTCCAGCTAAAGCTTCCACTGCCTTCCCACCTCAATCGGCTGTTGAAATGGTAAGTCAGTGCTTCCTAATCGGTTCCATAACCTCATGAAAGGAAATCCAAATATCGTACCTCCAAATGACCTCAGAAGACGAATACAGCAAGATTTGTTGCTCCTGGTGAACTACAGGCCCAATCCTGTTAAGCCGTATTGTCTGATCTTTAATAGCACTACAACTGCTCACATTAGTCGATACGGTTTCTAGTGGCAAGAGATCATAGACCATAGTAGACCATAACTGACTTTTCCAAGATAGAATGATTTACTTCTTCGATATGGAGGGCCTGATCCTAATTTACTGTATCCCAATAAACGTGAGTTACTTTAAATGAAGAAAAATAAATTATCAAAAGTGAAATAAAATGAACAGACATGAAGGTCGCTCTACTGAAGACTGGATTGAGTATACTTTTAACTGCTATATGAAGAAATCCAAAGTTAAATCATTTAAACTATCATTACAAGTGATTCTGCTTATGTGAACTGTTCATATCCTGACTTGGATGGTAATTGGTAAGAAGAGTAAAGTCCTAACTTGTATGGAAATTGCAATTATATAAGCATAGTTATCCCAATTTTCTAGTGGGGAAATTAGGTCTAGATTTTGGCCCACTGACTCTCTCTTTCACACAGCAGCAAAAAAAAAATGAAGGGTGACTTTCTTCTGCTTTGCACACTGTTGACTCATTTATTCTTGTGCAAAGAGTACAAGTGATTGCAAAAACCTATCACTATTCTAGGAAAGTGGAGAATTCTTAAGTGGCACTCTCTTTGTGGAGATGTCAATGACTATGCAGGATTCAAGCCAGTAGAGAAATAGACATATCACCCAGCTTGTTTAAGATTATATCAATGCTATATAATAGTCTCAATAACCCCTATAAAAGACAGAGAGAGTTTACGAGAAACTTTGCAAAATGACCCACATGGGGTTCCTTAGAGACCTTGTCTTCTAGGGGAAAGGTTTGTGGATGAGGCTGAAGATGCAAGTCGTCTTTACGCAGCGGGAAGTTAGGCTTCCACGCTAGCTCTGTGTGCAGGCACTCCTAGCATGTGCTGAGGGTTTCTTCCCACAAGATACATTATTTTGCATGGAAAGCAAAGGAGACTACCTCTTATTTAAAAAATACTGAATAAGTAGTGAGAGCAGGGTTTCCATTGCACTGTAATTTCAAACTTCACTTGCTGCAAACTGATTTCCTTGGACAGAGTAGCTTGCTGACCCCAATGTTCATACAGCTAAGGACTCTTCAGGAAACAGAGTCCAGTCCTACAGAAGGCAAGTCCAACCTTATTGTATCAATGAATTCCTCTTTGACAGTCCTCCATGCTATCAGTGTTATCTCAACCCAAGTCCTTCTTTGTGTTCCTCACAGACTAAAGACCCAGCAAGAGATGAAGCAAATGCTGCTTAGAAGTTGCTCATCTAGTCCTTTCACCATTTGCAAACAGGGTGAATAACAGATTCCCAAACAATGCAAAATGATAACTGAAAAGGATAATCCAGCCAGGTCAAGGCACGGAAGCATGGTAAGAGCCCAGAATCAAACTCTAGATATAGTTTCTATCACCGTCATAACAAGCAGAGCTGTAAGAAAAGTGATATCTGGAAAAATACATTTCAGGACCCAGTGTTTGAGTTTCTTCAGCATCAGAGTTCCCTCAAAGCTTTATGGTTTGTCATGCTAAAGGAAAAGAGAGAAGAGCAGGGATATCTAAGGTGGGGGGAAGACAAGACACTTCACCATTTTTCTAAAAATAGTACAAGCAATGTGAAAACCAAGTTAAAAGATTCTGAAAGGAATCCTTTCTGAAAAGGAAAGCTGCAGTGCACTATGTTGATCTTATGTGAACTACTCTACAATCTTTCAATCCAATATTTTGATGGAGTACAACGTGTAGATATAAATGCAAAACAAAGAGCAGAATCTACATGCAGCTTATATTCACAATTTGCAGTTATTTGTTTGTACTTATAATCTGTCCATCCGGACACATAAGTATGGAAAACCATTATTAATAAGGATGTTCAACTTAGTAATACGATCCACATCACCACCAGAGAAAAATCTTAAAAATCTGGTTAATTACCACTGCCAAAAAGCTGGAAAGAGAAGTGTTTGAACACATTTTGAAGATAAGACAATCTGTGCTGTAGAGAGGACTAATAGAGAGAGAAGGTCAGCTCCAGAATCAAAGACCCTTCAGGAGAACTCCTTTTCTCCATTCCATGCTGTTAAAATCATCAGACTTTTAGCCTTACAGATTCAGCAGATCACAGCTCTTTAAATGAAGTGCTGGCTGTGAGGCTGGTTTTTTTTCTTCCTCTTCTTAATGATCACTGTTCATGGAAGTTGACTTAGTCTCCTCACA